AGAAAGCCAGACAGACAAAATGGCTCAGGTTATTTGATTTTACTCCTCTGTTTTGGCCTTGGAGGCTCTTCTCTAGGTTCAGAAAACATCTGCACAGGACAGAAACAGAAGCAAATTTAACCCGTGGCATTTAGGCTCCCGTGCAAGCTAGTGCCTTCTTTGCCCCTTCTGCACAAGGAAAATTGGGTTTCAGGTTGATACTCTATGAAATGCTAATTTCAGGAGTATTGTTAAGTGGGTGTTGGTACATCCGCAGAGCTGTGACAGCTCATTTGAAATCATGGGAGAATCAATTGGTACATATGAGGAAGTCACCTGGTTATTGTGAATATGAGATCTGAGTCAAGAAGGATTGCTGTGTCTCTTCTGAGCTGCCCTTGTCTTACCATGCCATCAAGCTTGGAAGAAAGCAGCTAAATTAAGTTAAACCTGAGCAGCGATGTAGAATCTGTGAATACTTAGGTCACTCAACATTGATTTTGGGTCTCTAATTTTAGGCCATGTACTCTTCTTTTCCTTCGTGTGAACCCATCACCATGAGCTGCTCTGGCGGCTGATGGCTCAGTAGAACGGACAGTGATAATTACAGAGAATTTCCCCAGGCATAAATGAAACAACACAATTTCTTCTTTTTTCTAAAATTCATAATGGGGATGGCCATGTCTGTAACCATTGAGTGTTTCTGTCAGTAAATCTGACCAAGGGAGTAGGAGACGTGCATGTTTGCAGGTTCCCATGCTTTGTTCCTATGTCTAGGGCAGATCAGAGTAGAGGCAATGGGTCTAAGCTGCTGTGGGACAGGTTGAGGTTAACTATTAAGAAAAGCTTTCTAGCAGAAAGGATAGCAGAGCCTGGGAATAGGTTGCCTGGGAGAAAGATTGCCTGCTGCGGATGCCGTTGTTCAAGGTCATTAAGAACAGCTTAGACAAAAACCCCTCAGGTATGACACAGATAATTGTGTTCCCATCTTAACGCAAGGGACAGAGAGTTCAGTAACTTCTGGAGATCCCTTCCAGCGCCTGGGAGTTTAATAGGATTCTTCTGCAGGTACCATGAATTGCACCTAATAACAGGGCTGGGTGGAAATATGCCACCTATCCTGCAGGAAAATTTGCTGCATCTTTTCTCATCGCAAATAAGATTACCCAGAGGCTCCATGGCTGCTTCCCTCACCCTGGCGGACCATGTCTTTGGGTCGCTGTGATTCCTAATGAAAATAAGGTGATTTTTGGCCACAAATCCCCCATGCACACACAGGGCGGGGGGAGGCAGTTTTCCACAGGGAAAAACAAGCAAGTTCTGCATATGGGGAAAATGGATGGGAGGTTCTTTAGGTCAAGAGTTTGTAGTCCTCGGCATGGGGCTGGAGTGCAGCACGCTGGGCTCTGCTGCTCCCCTGGGCGGTCTGGCTGCCACTTGTGAAAATGGATGTGGAGAGGGGGCTTGAAGTCCCCTTTGCAAAGTCCATCTGTGGTAGCACTCCTTGAGCTCCTCTGCTGGCCATTCTTGGTGAGTGTGTCTGGACCTGGGCATTCCCCATTGTCCACCACAGGAGACCCTTACACAACTCCCTTCTTCTGCTCCTTCAGCCTCCGGCCCCAGAGCCCCAGCTTGACCTCAATGCTGAGGAGGAGGAGTTGAAGAGGAAGCTGGAGGAGTTGGCTAGCAACATCAGCGACAAAGAAGTCTCTTCTGAAGAAGAGGAGTGTGAAGAAAAGAAGAGAGTGAAGAAGCCAGAGATGAGTTCCTCCAGTGATGACATGGCCAGAGATGCTCGAAAGGTAATCTATGTCCCCCTACCTGTACCATTCTGGGCTCCATCTGCAGTTCCTTCTGCTCTCAGCGGTTTATGGCTTGTGATAATGTGACTCTTCTTCCGTCCCACACCTCCACCTCGATGCCTCCCAGAGCTGTCTGGCTCAGCTGCCTGCTTAAACAGGGTATCGAGGGATAGGGAAGTCCCAGGGTGTTGGATCTGGACCTTTGTCCTTGTAGGCTCTCCCAGTCTCATCCAAGAGTCAAAAGTAAAGTCTCTTAGAGGTCTTGCAGGCTACTGCCTGTCAGGGAGAGGTACACAACTTCCACATCTATTTAAAAGAGTTGTCTCAGGATCTGGATGTCATTATGGAGGAGAGAGTCCTGGGGTGGGAAGAGACCTCGGTGACGATTTAGTACTGGCAGCATTTGTCAGGCACTTGCTACAGCTTGAAACGTCTCTTTCAGACCTGTCAGTGCTCCTGCCCTAGGCAAGGGACTCCCAAAATCCCTGGTCCCACTTTCACTCTGTTAGGTCAGCATCTCCTGTACTTACAGCACTGTGCTGGCTCCTGTCCCCTACTCAGCGGTGGGTGATCCGTGGGGACATGGGTCAGGGAAAGAAGGAGGGATCACAGCGTCTATGCAGCCCCGTTCCCATCACCCCAGAGGGTCCCTCATCCCCATGGCCCACTGCAGCTCTGATTTATCCCCCTGCCTGCTGGGTGCATTTTGGAGATCTGCTTTTCCCCTGTGTATCCCCGCAGCAGGGCTGGAGAGGCGTTTGTTTGTGTGCAGCCTTGCACGGGAGAATTGCTTCCGTGGCTGGAGAGCGAGAGCAGGCAGAGGTGCTGGATTGCTTCCCCCTCGCCTCGCCCAGTAGGCAGTAGGGCTGGGTGACAGCATCAGGGATGAGCAACCGATGACTCAGAAAGAAGGAAAGATCTTGTGCGTCCTCAGTTGTGCGGAGCCTCCCAAGATGGTCCATTAGCACAAAATGGAGAGGTCAGCGTTCCTTGTCGGGTCTCTAATGGCTTATTTGTTCATCCCCTCCCTTCTGCCTTGGCGGTGGATGGAGTACGTGTGCATTTGCTCTGACACATCCATCGCTGGTGAGGGTGGTGAAGGAAGTGAGCAGGCTCCACGCTGCCCCTCTCCTCTCCTGCAAAGCTCCTTTCATCTCAGGTTACGGAGACTTTCGTTGTGCCACAAGGCCTCTCTTTAATGTGCTTTTGTTCCTCAGCCTCGAAAGGCAAAACCTGGCTGCTGCTGGGCTTGAAGAGTGTGACTGCGTGTACTCACGTGGTGCATTTAGTGAGTCTGTCTCAGGTATGTGTCTCTGCACGGCTCTACATAAAATCTCAGGATTAGAGCAAGTGACTGCTCCCAGGATGGCTTCCTTCATGTTTTTGGGTACTGACACTGGATTAGCGGTGTGCTGCATCCTTGCCAAAACCCTCCTTCACTGCCTCCTTTTTCCTGAAAGCTGCTTTTAGATGATTGCTGCAGCCAGACTTAACTACCACTCATCGGTTGAACAATGTGCATCTTCTTAGTAACCATTTCCAGTTAATTCCAGCACAGGGGATAAGTGGTAACTCACCAAGGCATGGTAACTTAATTCCTGTGTGAGCTGCTGATCTGCAGCAGACAGAGGCTCAAACGCTGACCTGCACTGAGGAACAGGGAGATATTAGTGGGGTATCAACGAAAGCTTCTTCATTCTCGTAAAATGAAGCCCAGATTCTCCAGATCTGCTGCTTTCTTTGACCAAAGCCCAGCTATGAGCAGGGAGGACACAGGCATAGTTGTTGTCTCTCAGTGGGGTCATGCAGGCAGGTAACACAGGAGCTATACAACAGCTCCTAAGCAAAGAGAGACCCAGCTGGGTTGCAACAGATCAAGCAAAACCAAATCTGAGAAGTGAAACAAAATTCAGCTTTTTGCATCGCAGCAACACACAAAGTGTCAAATACCTTTATGCAGTATTGAGTTAGAAATGCTTGCAGTGATGTAGATAGACTAGCCTTGGTCAAAGGCTGTATCAGCATGGATTTTTTTAACAGCAACTTTACTTATACTTATATCAGATCCAGAGTTGGATTATGCATGATTCTGAGTTTGTTTTTATGCGAGTCTCCTCTCCAGTCAGGAGGAAGTAACTGGGGAACACTGCGATGAAAGCAGATGCTCCTAATGGAAAATGTGAAAAAACTATGCTGTACCATGAAGGCACCATAAAATGATAAAAATATCAGCTGGACTGAGTTAGCTGGTTCTTTGCAGGACGGCTTGCCTGGAAATACGTGCAGTTGTAAACACAACTGTTTGTCTTTGTTGCCAGAGCATATATCACCCCCATCTCCTTGGTTTCTAGGGAATTATCAGTTGAGAGAGAGATGATGAGTTTCTTCAGTCTATTTTTACATGTGCTTAGTGCCTTATCAAGCAAAAGGCAGTACTTAGGAGCATTATTGCCATCAGTGCTCCTTGGGATGGGAAGAGCAAAACCAAGTTCTGGCAGTGTGGCAATACAATAATTTCATGGGTTGGGGTCTTTTGTGCTACAAACTTCAGGAGTTCTTTGCATCCATGCTCAGGCCTGTTGAAGTGTAAAGCAATATGCTACAATTAGACCTTAACTGCTGAGTAACTGAGTGGCCTTCAGGTGGCCAGGTGCTGCTGCTGTCGGACAGCTCCGGTGGCACTGCTTCCAGCGAGAAACACATCCCTTGCTAACCTCTTTTCCAAGCCTTTTGAGATGACTTCTTTTGTCACAGCCATCCTCCAGAAAGCACACGCTGAGATCAAAGCTCTGCTTTAGCCATGCATCTGTCTCTAGTGGAGAGCCCTTCAGGAACAGCGTAAGCCCTTTAATTATCGCTTCTCCATCTTTCTCCAGCTCCTGAAGGTCTGATGCCCCTTTCACCCCCCACTTGTGCTATTTTGTACACCACGTTAAAATAATGTCCTTGTTTTTTTCCCCCTCCCACTCTCTGCTTTGGCTGTGCCGGGTGTTTGTAGAGGTCGTCAGCTCAGGCTTTGAGCGAAATCACGGCCAAAGTACTGAGAGCCATAAATGTCACGGAGAAAGCAGTGTGTGAGTCGTTGCATGGAGAGAGGCAGTGCAACGGCAGCTGTGCCCTCCCCACAGGGCAGCTTCCCAGCCTGGGAGACGTGAAAGAGGTGGCCGAAGCGTACCATGAGCTTGAAGAAAATGTAAGGTTCACAAGAGCTTTCTGCAAGCAGGGAGGGCATCAGGGGGTGGGAATACAGAGGAAACTGACCCCAAATTTCTTGTTAGTGGGTAGGTCAGCATTAAAAGGGTGGGCATGACAGAGGGATTAGAGTCTGGTCTTGTCCGACGGTGGCTAGGGCTGTCTTATGAGGGAGATGGCACAACAGCAAGTGCAGATGCTCTGTCTTGTGGCTTCCCTTGCCTCAGTCCCCGGTTTCCCCGGGTGACTGCCAGGGAGAAAGAACGAGCGTGATCCCCAGCTTGCTGTAGCATCACTTTGCTGGACTTCAGCAGTCCTGTGCTCCAGCTGCAGCAAAAGCTTTTGTCCCTTTTCTCTTTCGTTCCTCCCCAGCACTGCATTTCATCAAGGCTTTTACAAACGAGAATAGCATGACCTATCTGTTTGCTAAGGCTGACTTATGCCTGGGGCTGATGGGCTTGTGCAGGTGATAAGTTTACATCTAGAGCATAATCTCCTGCTAGGTTTGTGTGACTGTGTGAAGCACTGACAATTTTTTTAGCTACTGTAAACCCATATGAATCGATTCCCCATGGGAAATGGATTGCATCCGCAGTGCCGTTTACCAAGCTGCAAAGAAACAGCTCAAAGATGGGGCAAAGAGTCGCATCTCCATCTGGGTGATCGGGTCTCACTGTCAGAAATGTCCTGCAGTGGGAAGTAGGATTTTATAACATGCTCTGTGGCTCGTCTCTCATAGGGGAAAGCTTATACATAAAAGCAGGGAGCTGCTGGGAGCAGTGTGTGCTCAGAAACTGCACCACCTGGCTGGTTTCTGGCCAAATGCAGCATTCCAGGGGAAGAGGAGTGGCTGGATGAAGGTTCCCCTCTCCCTCCCAGGAGAAGGGGATGGGGCTGGGAAGGATGTGAACTTTGGGCTTAGTGCTGCTGCCGTCAGTGGCGAAGCGGTGGGTAGACAATGGCCCTGGGAGGTGTGTGTTCATCCTGCCATTCCCTCGGGGGCCCCGGCTGAGTCACGGCTGGCTCACCACTCTCCGAGGGATGCCACCCACCTCAGAGGGCACCAGGAGAGTTTGATGGCCCAACAACAAATTGTGTCCCAGTGACTCACATGTTGAGCGGCTTCAGGGATAGCACCCACAAACATTTGCATTCTGTTAGAGCCTCAGGGTTTGCACTGGGATGGGTGGGACCAGGGTGCGGGGAGTGTTGCTGTGGTTTGGGTGGATGCTCAGTACTTCAGTGCATGCAAGGGCCTCGTGCCAGGCTGTTTCACACAATACCCAGCCCAGGAAAAGTGGAGAGGGCTGGAAGAGCAGGAGTTGCATTAGCAGTAGCAAGATTTTGGGATCAGTCAGCAAAACAGTGGCTACAACCCATCTGATCACCTTATGTGATTGCATACAGACATATTAATGTCTCCTAAACAGCCTTGCTTAGACTTGCATCCTTGTAGTAGCCCAGCAGGAAGCAAGTGACAGAAAAAACAGTGGTTTTATTGCGGCAGGTCCTTTTACCCTTCTTATCTAGACAGCAAAGGTAACACGTTGCTTCCCGTAGCCACCGTGCATCCCCAGTCAGCACTCCCTGGTTCATCCCACTGCTGCGCTGGGCTCCGCTCACACGCGTGTTTGCTGGGGCTCTCGGCTGGGATCATTCCTACGTGTCCAGAGCAGTCCCTGTGCAACGCTGCCTTTTTGCAGGGGTTGGGTTGGTTAACTGCCCAGGGCCAAACTCCCAAATCCTGACCCTACTGCCAGACAACCCAGCAGCGCAGACACCCTTAAAAAAGACTGAGTGGATTTGAATAGACAGTCTGTCTCCTTCCCAGCTTGCTGCCACCATGGGACATGGCAGCCTGCGCTTGTTTGCAGGTACCTGCCTCCCCTCTGAGCATACAGCATGAAGATGTTGATGCTACTCGAGTAGGTCACTAAGTTTTGGTCCTTCCTGTGTAACCATTGAGCCTTTTACCATTTCACCCTGTTGGTAATTGCTCTCAAAAAGCCTGGGGAAGACAGGAAATGAGATGAAAAGCCCTGCCAGGGCTGACTGGGTACTGTCTGTGCTGCAAAGCAAGGCAGCAGTCATAAAATAGTGGCAGGAGCTGTTGCATCTGGGGCTGCGGTCACACCAGGAGAGGATGACTCCAGGGAGGTTAATTCTGCAATGTGTGTGGGTTTTTTTCTTGTATTTCAGGTGTACCTGACTGCTGGGAAGACCTACCGGCTTGAGAAGACCCTGAAGGAGCTTGAGGAAGGGGCTCAGCACAACGGCACTACCGACTCAGAGCTGTCAGAGCTGGAGGACAAAGTGGCCTCGGCAGCTGCTCAGGTGCAGCAGGCAGAGAGCGAGGTGAGGGCTTGGCTCTGAGAGCTGCTTTGCACAGAACCCCGGCCAGTGACGGCAAACAAAGTCAGTGATAGATCCTCTGGCCACCATCTGTATGTTTTTTTCCTCCCTTTAAAGATATCAGACATCGAATCTCGAATTGCAGCTCTGTCTGCTGCAGGGCTGACAGTGAAGTCAGTGGAAAAGGCAAGGAAGAAGTCGAGCGAGCAGGTGAGCTTAGAGGACAATGACTATGAGAGGTCCCAGCCCTAAGATGTAAGTGCTCCCCCAGGTCATTGCTGCCGCCCCTGGGAGCTGTGAAGGGCTGCCTGGCTTGCTGAGCTGTGCCCAGCTCCCTTGCTGCTGCCTAGTACTCTGCCCCAAGTCTCTGAGAGTGGATGTCTCACTGAGGATGGGGGACAATGCTGATTCCTTACATGCATCAAGGGAGGATTTTGCATTTGGGGTGCTCTTCCAGGGGCTCCAGGGAGGGCACACAGGGCTGCTGCACGCACCACAGCCTGGACTCAACTCCTGCATTTCCATACTGATTTTTATAATTGCAGTCCATCAGGCAGAGTTGCTCCATGGCGGTGTGCTGCCTCTTTTGCCCACCTTAGGATCAGTCTAGGCTGAACAAAAGAGGTGAAAATGCAAAGAGAGGCAGACCGAGTCGTCTGCCTCCTCTGCACCCCCAGAGAAACCTCTGCCCTTCCTCTGCCCGCAGGCTGCCTGCCTCCACTCTCCTAGTCCCACCAGCAGCAGCCCAGGGGAGTCTTCGGATGATGTTAAAGTGAGTATGTGTTTAATCTGTGCCTGCTAGTGCACCTTCCTGGTGTGCATGTGACACAGCATTAAGCCTGGGGACAACCAGGGTCTCCAGGGAGCCACTTTTGAAGTGGTGGCCTCAGAGGGGACCTCTGTCCTCCCATACCCTTCCCCATGGCAGGCTGCTCCCCTTCTCTTGCAGGCGATGCCCAGACCACAGGGGTTCAGGAGGAAGTTCAACAGTTCCCTCGAAATCACCGGTAAGGACCGTGGCTCTGCCCACGGGAGGTGGGGAACTGTGGGTGGATGGGCTGGGCTTTGGGGGACGCTCCGTCCTCTCTCTCTCTGCATCCAGTTGTGTGTCTGCATTGGGGGTCCCCTTCCCTGTGCTCGTGGACCCTGTTAGGACAGCCACAGGGGAAACCTGTCATGGATAACTTAACAATTCATAGAATCATAGAATCATTAAGGTTGGAAGAGACCTCCAAGATCATCGAGTCCAACCATCAACCCAACAACACCATGCCCACTAAACCATGTCCCTAAGCGCCTCATCTACCCGTCTTTTAAATACTTCCAGGGATGGGGACTCAACCACTTCCCTGGAAAAGAGGGGCCCAAAACTGAACACAGTATTCGAGGTGCGGCCTCACCAGTGCTGAGTACAGGGGCACGATCACTCCCTGCTCCTGCTGGCCACACTATTTCTGATACAGAAATAGTTAGAAAGGAGGAAGCAGCTGGCAGGATCGGGGACAGTGATGGCAGAGCGGAGGTCAGGCTGAGGCAGCTCAGTCCTCCAAGAACCAGGACTTTCTCTGCAGCCTGGGCTCCTGCCACCCCAGAGTCCAGGGAGACATCTGTGTTACTTCATTTGTGGCACCCTGTTAGCTGTTGGACCTCAAAGCCTCGCCTAAGCCATCATCTCTTCTGATAGCAATTTCTTCCTTGCTTGGTCGTCTTGGGGAAGGTATCCTTGACCCTGTTTCCCACCTTCCTCAGCCACTGGTCTCTGGTGGGGATCAAGAGGCCCTCCACAGCCCAGCTATGATGAACAGCAGCTTGGGAGTGCTTCGAAGTAGACAGTGACCTGAAACTTGGCACAGCGGCTTGTGTGGCAGGGGGCAATCACTGGAAACATTTCATCCTGACCGATATCAGCAAGACCCATTAGGAAATGACTTTTCTATTTCTCTCTTATCTCACCTCATAAGCTGATAGGCAGAAAGAATGGCTCTCCTTCCAGATAATGGAAGATGAAAGGAGGGAAGGGGGAAAGATCATTTAATGCAGAGAAGGAATCAAGTTTCCCCTGTACAGGCAGACAATTAACAGTCCCATTTCCCAAGCTGAGGCTGGTAAGTGGAAAGGTCCCTTCTCCTTGTGCTGAGGAGGAGTCATCTGCTCTCCTTCCTGCGAAGGGCAGGCAGATAAAGGCAGCCTGAGGGACACGTCAGCCCTGCAAGGAGATAGAGGGATATGCAATCAGGACGGACGTCACCAGGCGAGCCTAATCCCCTCTGCCTGGGTTGGGTGATGGGGCAACTCGGTCTCCTGACCGCCCGCCCCACAGGTCAATGACTTGCAAAAGTTGGGCCTGCAAAGGTGCAGCTGGTGGAGGTTGATGGCAGAGAAGGGGAGATGACTTAGAAGGTCAAAGGAGGATCGAAGCCTTGAGGGGTGAGGGCTCCTTATGGCCTAGGCTTTTGCTGTACCATGGAGGTTTCCAGAGCAGAGGTCTTGGCAGTTGACCGCTGGAAGGCTGATACAGCTTGCACGGCACTCTGGAAACCCGAGTAGCAGCAGCTTTTGCCTCCCTGTTGTCAAAGAGCTTCCCACAACCCTCCTGGAGAGGGAAGTGCAGTCATGCATCCTAAACCACCGTAAGCAGGGGATAGTAAAATCCAAGTGACTTGGTGGGTAACTGAAACCTCTAGTGAGGTGGATGAGGACCTGCTGCCCATCTCTCTTCTTTCATGACAGGTCTTGATGACTCCTTCGACCGCAACTCTGTTTACCGTGGCTCCCTGACACAGAGAAACCCCAACGGGAAGAACAGGAGGGTGGAGCGACTCTTTGCGGTATGAACCCAGCCACCAAAGA